TCCAAGCAGACAGTTTGCTAAAGTAGACTTGCATAAGAGAAGGCAGGAACTGCAGAGAGACATTTGGCTCATGCATCAGCTGAAGGCCTTGAACCAGACGTTGAGCAATCTGTTTATTCCTCGCTGAACTCGAACTCGTGCTGATAGAAAGATAGCCATTAGCATTCAGCGCCCACTTCTTTTTTCTTTCATCTCTAAAGAAATATCTGCAAACCACAATCACTTTGGTTCTATAAACTTCAAAGACAAAGGCTTATCACCTAAATATACATTTTAGAGGAGATGTATTTAAAAAAAGTTTACCTTTCTGAGCTCAGCTTTATAAATCTGTGACGTCAGAACCAACATGATAAATCTGTTCATGTTTAGGCCTCCACTTGGTTTAAAAACATTTTATTTTGTGAGCAGTTTCAGACGTCACTTCTTTAATCCAGAGATAAAAGAATCCTGCTGCATTAACTGAACCTCAAAAACTGTTTTAAGTTCTTGATTTCTGTCTCACTGTTAACTGCAAATTATCAGAAGAAACACATTTCACTAAACTTCAGAAATAAGAGTTTAAAATGGTCAACCAATACGTTTTATAACACAAAGTTTATATCCTATTTAGATTTTTTAAAGAAACCAAACTAATGAAATAAAAATCATTTGGAATAAGCTCATAAATCAGTTTCTAATATCAGCCTTAAAAAACATTAAATAAAACAAAAATAAAATTAGTAAATCACAGAGGTTATAAAGTCATRTGTCAGAGAAATTATTGCAACTGGTGTTTTAAACATTCACATACAGTATGGTATAGAAACCTTAGTCAGGCCCAGGTCTGGCCCACACAACGCACTAATAACACTAACAAGAATGACTGCCCTTTTGTGGTCTAGATGTGGTTTGCCAGAGGTGGTCCATGCATGGCCCAGCATCACATGAACCAAACCACAACCGGGCCAGTGGTGGCAATGACAGATTTGGGCCACCTAAACCTAAGCACAACTGGGCCAGTGGCGGCATTGACAGTTTTGGGCCACATAAACCAAACCACAACCAGGCCAGTAGTGGCGTGCTATCCTAAAAAACAGTGCCATCATTGCCAGACCTGGCCCACATTCGGTTGGCAAACCACTTGCATGCCAGCAGATCTGACCCACATCACCTGATTTTATTTTCAGAGTTTGGCCTTGATTTTTCATCATGAGACGATCTCAACTTTAAACTCTGACGTAATGTGGCGGGTGACATGAATTTTCTTCAAAGCTAGGCCTTTTGTTTTTCCTCTTAATTCCTCCTTACATAAGAGGCTCAAGCAGCCAGACGTAAGAAACACGGGGAGATGTCAGAGCGGAGAGGATAATTCACAACTACTGAACAATATCTAACTTTTTCCACATGTGGGTGAAAGAAAAGAAATGAGTTCTTAGCTATCGACTGAGTTTGAGCATTTAAAAAAGTCAGTGGCTTTTTGTGGACTTTTGAAGAGACCAACTGTGCCTGTGTGCTTGGAAGTCCAGATGTGTGTATGC